GTTCGGAAGGAATGTTTTTGTTCTTTGCTTCTTCATTTGCCTTGGTTCGAGACCCGGGTGTTTGGGATTGAGGCACACATGCGCTACAACATGTGCGGCACGCGGTACGGGAAATCTCTCACTGGAGGGGGAGGGGGGCCTGTTCGCACACTCTGCGTTGGGGAGGCGGCAAAGAGGCTATGCAATACGGAGTAAGATGCAGTGATTTCTAGCCTTTGCGCAAACGGAGCCGATGGGGGAAAGCACGAGGTCACATGGAGGGTGGGCGTGGCACAGCGTTTAGGAAGTGGAATTTTTGAGATGAACCTTTTTCGAGACAGGAGCAGGGCGGGTTTGGCGTGGCGTTTCGGCGTGCGAATGGGTTGGCTTAAAGGTGGACAGGAACAAGATGAAGAAGATGAAGAAAGAACAAGAAGCAGAGACACGCTGTCTTGCGACGGGAGGGGGAAGAGGGAGGGGGGGAGGCCGCAAGCCTGTGGGTGTGGTTGTTTCGGATCATCTGAACGGCGCAGGAGGGATCATGGTGCGGCAGAGCAGACCTTGGAGGAATTTTGGGGTGGCTAGATAGAGGGAGGGAGACGAAGACCAAGTCGTCTCTCTCTTGTCTGTTCCCCTCCCCTCCCCTCGCCCTCGACTCTCGTGAACTTGAATCCCAGGGCAGAGTGGTCTGGTGGGCGGGTATCAGCTGCATTCCAGCGGGATACTGAAACCCCTTACAAAGCTGCGGGCTCTCTCGTTGTGCCTCTCTCGGTCTGTCCCGACGGCCACAGAGGCTACGATGATGCTGCCATGTTTCATGAGGTTGGGTCTGGCGGTAAATGACTCCAAAGAATGAAAGCCGCTCAATTCATGTGTGACGACGGCGGGATGTGTAGTCTGGGCAAGCTCGAAAGATTTGTTTTCTTCCTTCTTCCTTGCTTTCATGTCATCGCGGATCAGTTGGTGAACGCTCTCGGCACTTGATGTCGATCGAGGCAAGTGCATGAATGCATGACGACTGGATGAGCGTGGACTAGGATAACATTCAAGGAGGGGAATTTTCCTTTTGGTGGAGGAGCTCCCAATGAGGTAGTCGTCGTTAGGATCATAGCTTGGTTTTCGAGGTATGTTCCCTGAAGACGTGGTTGACGATTGCTTGGAGAGACCTTGTCGGCGGGGGGGGGGGGGGATGAGAGGGGGAAAGGTCTGGCCCGTCGATCATGCCATCGGGAGCTTGGAAGGAGGCTCTCTCTCTCTCTCTCTCTCTCTCTCTCTCTCTCTCTCTCTCTCGTTCTTGTAAGGGGTGTGGATTGGTGATGCGAAGAAGACCTGGGATGCCAAGCGTATCGAGGTGAACTCAGGGGTCAGCATGAGACTGGTGTGGTTGCCAACACCGAGGCAGGTACCTCCTGACGTAGGTAGGTGTACCTCCTAACGTACCTAGGTTCTACTTGGAAGATACCCGTGACAGTCCCTGTAAACGAATGCAGGCCTGTCAAGCCTGAAAGTACCCAGGTTGTGCACCTGCCAGACAGGTCTCTCGAGGGCCACGAGGGGAGACCAATCAATCTCTTCAAGATTAATTGAGGAACCGATAGCCAGGAGAAGGGAAAGAGGCGAGTCCATCGAGGCTTGGCATGTCAGGGGGCAGGGGAGCCTGTCGCTGCAACGCTAGAAGGCTTCTGGCCGCTGTAGCGCGGGCTGTCTGCTGGAGAAGGGCAAAGTCCGCTGTGTGCTTAGGGGGTCCAGTGGTGTCGATCTCGCCCCTGTGATCGAGCAGCCAGCAGTCTCCTAGGGGCCCCTAGGTCCCTTGGGTCCCTGGGCAGGTCAGAATGGCATGCAGAGCTGGCCCGTGCCCTCGCCTGTCGGACGCACGGGGCACGGCGCCTCATTCCGTCTGAGATCCACTCGCCTCCCCACTGCGCCAGACTCACCTGTCACTGGCTCTTTGGTGCATCCCATGCTCCTGCCACTACGGTCGCCGGCCCTGCCTGCTTCGTTCTCAGGCTCAGGCTCAGGCTCAGGCAGGCACGCTCACCTCAGGCAGGCAGAGGCAGGTTCACCTCAGGCTGGGGCTTCGCCTCCACTCCACTCCACGGATGGACCAGTGGTCCACACGTCCAAGACTCCACGTCCCTCCATCGAGCCTGATCCCGAGAAACACCTCGCAAGGACCAGACTGCTGCATACCTCTTGACCACAACTCGACCGACATCTCACACCCCTCTCCACAGACAACTCGGTTCAATTGAGCTCGCTCCCCTGAGGCATCGCATTTCCATCGACAATTTTCCACCTGCCAACCACCTCGCACCATCCCCGGATCCGATGCCGTCTCTCCCCCGCCGTCCGTCGCTCTCCTGATCTTCTCCTCCACCACGGATCCCTCCACCACGCCCCCCCCCCTTCGCTCTCTCCCCCCAACCACCCGAACCGCCCAAACCACCAACTCAACTCGTCTCGCCGCACATTGACGATCGCTGTCTAACCGACCTGTCCCGATCACAACCGCTGGCCCGACCATCTCGCGCTGAAGAAGCGCTCCACCGACGACGAGGACGACGACGTCGAGCAACTGTCTCGACCTCCGTCCCCGCCCCTCCCCATCAACCTATACCAGAGCCACCCGCAAGTTCCCCCGTCACCAACCGCCACCGTGGCGACTCTCAGCGCGACCAGCTACCGGAGCAAAATGAATTTCGACTCCGGCACTGCCTATGCCGAGTCGGACGCCGACGACGAGTACGAGCGCAGCGTCGCCGCCAGCTCGCCCGTCCTGGCCACCGACAGCGAGACCTCGCCCATTGACTCAGAGCTGCCCTCCTCCAACGAACACACGCCCACCACGTACGGCCACCGCAGCAGCGCCGACCGTCTGCCCGAAACTATCATCTCGGAATGGACCGCTGACGAGTGCGCCACACTTTATCGGCACCATTGGCCTGCCGCAATATGC